GATGATGTCACCATACAGTACTATGCGAGTTGCAAACCCCAAGTAATGTACATGTACCTCTGTTATGACACATCACAATCATTCAGAAAAATACAATATTCAACACAATACAGTGTGAATTATTTAGAATACTTGATTCAATTAATCTATTTTTTATGGTTGATATTTTTTCCACTATCAATAATTTAGTAAGTTAGTATGAAATATTTTCATCCTGAGAATTGTAGAATTTATATTGAACTAGGGGGTCATGACAATAATTGTGTATGTATTTAGCTGTGTGAAGTTGGGATCGGTATCAGAGCAGCATCGGTTTAAAATACATGTACCTTAGAATAATACAAGATTTTGTTGTTTTGGTGAATCCAATGGCATAAAAAACAACAAACTCCACTCGTTCTTGGATTACGTCACATTTTTTATGTATTTTAGTCGCCGATATAGTAAGCGACCAAGATATGATAGTATATAGAACATAGAAATACTTGGTAAAAAATCTTATTCAGTTTTCAATAATATTTTCTCATTATATCCAATGTTAATTTTTCTCCCACAATGCACTGTGATATGCTCAATAAAATGCTCAATAACAGTTAAAACTTGAATTTGGTTTGAAAAACTTTTTACAATGAAATAAACAAAGCATCCAAACACTGGCTGATTCATGTTGATAACAATTTTAGGATTGTACAATATAAATTACCTTAATACTGATAAAGTGTAATCCACATTCCTTGGCAACCACACCTGCCAATAGAGTCTTGCCTGTACCTGGAGCACCATACAATAATATTCCTGATCTTAGTCGTAATGGGCTATTTGAAAATAAAGCTGGAAACTGGAAATAATTTTAAAATAATTTTCTTATTAAAATTTATAAAGTTATGATAATCATGAAATATAAATCAATGAAAAGTAGATAATTATTCTGAAATCGTCTTTAGTGCGGGTAGTATGTTTTTTTTATTATACAGACGTTTAGGTTTATTATATTTTATTTTTCGGTGATGTTAAATTGTTAGTGCTATGAAGGTTTTTGCAATTAGATGCTATAAAGTCATTAACAGTCACAGGAACTATTAAAATTAAATATAAATTTTGCAAAAGTTACTGCGAATTCCTGTCTCAAAGTAGAATGATATGAAGTATGCGCAAACACTTAGCTCAGGGCTAAGCGCTCTCTGTGGCGACCTTTGGGTGTAGACAAAATAAATTTGGTTCGCTGTCTACGACATGCATTAATAAAACTCTGTATTCTGTTACGCCGTTGTATACTGTTTATGTGCATCCAAATAAGTTGAGTCCGTCTTCTCTCGCGTTCCTGTGCACGTCGCTTCAAAATTAGAACGAAACATGTCAGCAGCAGAAATAGAACCTTGCGCATGTCATCCATTTTTTGTTGGTAAATAGCGGCTTGCCAAAGGTCACCGATTGATGGTGCCCCTTAGCCCGTGCTAACGACTTGCCCTCCCTGTGCGTGGACACAATTGGGTCTAGCCAAAATGCAAATATACTAGATAAGCCAAAATCAGCTTAAATCTTAGCCCGTACTTCGTGTAACATGAACACAACTAATGATATACCAGTACAAGGACACTACTACACTAATTAGACTCCTGGAATTCCTGAAATTTGGGTATCGGTAACGTTGAGGAGATACGAATGATGTTATACAAATTGGTATGTGGATCAGGTGTACATATACTTGGAGTTGTATTCCGACAGACTTTGCATACACACATAGTTCCAGGCTGGCTAAATTTTTCTCACCTTAGATGGTAATTGTAAAGTTTCTATTAGAGCCTCTTTTATCTCATGTAGACCACCAACACTCTCCCATCCAAGCGAACCAGCATCATGTAACGGCACGTTCAGTAATGACATTGGTGTGAAGTCTTTCAGAGCACATTCCATATCCAAGTCAGTCAGGAGCAACTCTCCCATCTCTCCATCTGAGAGATAATTGTACATACAATGTATCACTATCACATGGCATTGTCAGAGAGCTTCATGGGTTTGAAATGCCCATGATGGTCATTGAAATCAAAAATATGTACATTTTAAGTTTCTGAGGTTACCTCACCTTCAGTCAGCATGATATCAGATGGTTTGACGTCCATCTCTCTTGTACTTGCTGCATGTATAGCTCTCTCTACTAATGTCACCATGTCTTTTGGAACATACCCCTCTGTCTTAGACGCAACATCATCGATATTTATAATATTGATGCTTTGTAAATCAACTTCCGTTTTCCCTTCAATCACAGACATCAATATCTCGCGCCTGCCAACCTGCAATGGAGTGATGTGATACTATGATGTTATTATGAGGATACCTCACAAAGTATGCACAAAGACAGTACAGCGAAAGTATTGACTAACACGTAGAAGAGGTCAATGCGACGGCATCTGTCTGAGTGCATACTTTTGAGGTATCCTCGCAATAACCATAATTATTATAAATCTTTTTCTTCCATGGGAATGCCGAATTCCAAAACGTTTAGAACACAATCAGCAAACTTCTTTGTGTGGAGTCCGGTCAAACCCTGGTGGCAGCCATGTTTGTTTTTATTATTAGAGGACGCATACATGTCAAATCATTTTATATTTGGATTTCACATTTCCTTATACCACATAATTACGATATTTTACGGGGACTGCGCGTCGGTCGATACTGTCGCTGTACTGTCTTCGTGCATACTTTGAGGTATCACCGTAATAACCTTATAATATTAAATAATCTATGCACAAAAACATAACCCAACCTAGTGTTCGTATAATACACTGCAAGTAACATCAGTAAAGTCTGCCTTGTTTTTTACACACCAAGATGCAGTTTATTTGTGTTTTGGGATGTAACTGTGGTGGTATGAATATGTGGGAAACAGCCATTAAACATGTAAAAACGAGTGGTAAATGATTTTATGAATCTATCAATAAATAACCCAACTTCCGGCACATGCTCCGAAGCCTAGCTACCAGAAAACTCGCAACAATTATTTGCAACACTGTTTACGACAGTTAGTTGAATGCCATTTCAGTGCTTTGTTTCTGACAGGGTATACAAATACCAGCAGTATAAAAAATCAGAATGCACTGGACAGTTATTTGATAATGTCAGTAGAGGTTATACAACTTAAAGTGCGTGTGCAATGCCCGACCTCACGTTTCCCATTTTAGACCTGTGTCCCACTGAAATGGGCAGTTATTGATTTTTTGGCTGAAAATGATTACTCGTATCCAAGTAAATTTGGGATATTTCTCGTGTTGTAGCCACGCCCACCTATCCTGAAACGGTCGATTGTTTCCGGATTTCCGACTCTCGCCGAAAGTGCGCCACCAGATGCCTAAATGTGAGAGGAAGTCATACCCCTGAGCCGTAGTAACACTGGTCATTTAAACGATATACATTTTTCGGTCGGCGTTTTTTTCCCTTTTTTTGTCTATTTTTCTTTTTTTTTGAGAGAGAGAGAGAGTTTTTAGATGTTGTGTTACGGGCAGTTGCAGTGAAACGTATAGTCATAGTGTAAGTATTCACACGTTTCTAATCGATTCGAAAAT